GGGGAGTGGGAGAGGGAGAAGCAGGCTTTCCGCCGAGTAGGGAGCCTGATGCGGGGCTGGATCCCAGGACCCTGGGATCATGACCTGAGCCGAAGGCAGATGCTTAACGACTGAGCCACCCAGGCGCCCCGATTGTGGTGATTAAATTAGTTCTTGAACATATTTAAAATGCTTACAACAGGGGCCGTCATATAGAAAGCATTGTATCAGCGTTAGTTATTATTTTTACTGGAATGAGAAACACATGCTTGCACTTTGTCAAGCAAGAAATCTGTATACATTGTAGTTGGACTATCAAATAAACTGACAGGTCTGTAGAAATGAGTGACATAGAAAAGATGTCTTTCCTATTATAACGGATATGTTATGTTTGCCTCCCAGCATCAATTTCCCCCTCTTCTAGTAACAGCACTATAATTTTCCTATGGGATACCCCCTTCTTCCACAGTTTGGGAGGTTGCCCCCTCTCCAAAGAGGTAGGTATATATATATTAATCTTTATTTATTTATTTTAAGATTTTATTTATTTATTTGCAAGAGAGAGAATGAGAGGGGTGAGGGTCAAAGGGAGAAGCAGACTCCCTGCTAAGAAGGGGGCCCGATGCAGCACTTGATCCCAGGACTCCAAGATCATGACCTGAGCTGAAGGCAGTCGCTTAACCAACTGAGCCACCCAGGCGCCCTATTTTTTTTTTTTTTAAAGATTTCATTTTTTTAAGTGATCTCTACACCCTACGTGGGGCACGAACCCACAATCCCAAGATCCAGAGTCACACATTCCACCACTGAGCCAGCCAGGGGCTCCAGAGGTAGAAATAGATACCTGACCACAGTAACTGGCTTAAGAACTGGCATATTACCCAAATAAGTTCAATGTGACTCAGTTCCAAGGCTTTTGTTATGCTTATTGAAGAACAGTCACCCTTTTCCACTGGACCTGATACTGTAAGGATTTAAAAGTCAGAGACTATTAGGGGCCTATCTTGCCAATACCCAAGAGGAGCCCTCCTGAATGCAGTCAATGCCAAGATGGAGAGAGAATTAGTCCTGATGAGATCATTGAGTCTGGATCCAGGTAGGACTGAAGTCAGGATCTATCTTGGATTGTTCTGTTATATAGACCAGGAAGTTCACTTTTTATTATAATTTGGGCAGTTTGAGTTGGGATTCTGTCATCTGCACATGAAAGAACGTGACAACACGCCAATTTAAAACCTTTCAGATATTTGAAGACAAGAATCATCCCCTCCAAGTATACAACCTCTCATTTATTCCTATTAAAAATCAGTCCGTGAGGGGCACCTGGGTGGCCCAGTTGGTTAAGCATCCCACTCTTGATTTTGGCTCAGGTCATGATCTCAAAGTCATGAGATCAAGCCCCAAGTTGGGCTCCACACTAGGCGTGGAACCTGCGTAAGATTCTCTGTCTCCTCTCCCTCTGCCCCTCCCCATCCCTCCGCTAGCACCCACACATGCACACACCCTCTCTTAAAAAAAAAAAAAAAAAAAATCAGTCCGCCTACCAAAATCTATTTGGATCCACAGCCCTTCACCTAAACAACTGGTCACTCAAAAAACTCATGTGAAATGAATGAATAATGAATATCATGTGAAACCAGAAGGGCTCCTATTTTTTAAATGCCTGCCTTTTAGGGTTAAATACAATCACTTGCTTTTTAAAATATCCTATCTTAACATATACTCTGAAGACAAGTGATACTTACAGATGTTGTACCATCCCTCCACCCACTATCCCCATTTAAAACAGGACAAACAATTATCCTGACCCAATCAGATTCAGATGGGTGACTACCAAATCTCTCTCTCTAGGTCTGACACTGGCCCCAAGCTCCAGACCTAAACCTTTGAATATTATACTACACCTTATACACACATCACTTACTGCTGTCCTTTCTGAATCCATGTATTTCAGTCAGTATCACCACTGTTCTCCCTATTATTTAAATTCAAATTCCTAGGGGTGCCTGGGTGGCTCAGTCGTTAAGCGTCTGCCTTCGGCTCAGGTCATGATCCCAGGGTCCTGGGATTGAGCCCCGCATCGGGCTCC